TGTGGAGCATGTCCAGGTAAACTGTGAAGCAACATAATTTATAATAACCATATGAAATTTGTCTTGTGCATCCAAGAAATGCAAAAGTTTCCAGGATTGTGAATAACATTCCTGAATTATTTCCAGAACCTCCTTCCACTTTAAGAACAAATAAAGTGAAAAAATTTCACAAGAACTAATGAAATTGAGGATAATTTTGATTTTCTGAGTAACTTGATATCTGCTTATTCGTTGCCTCATTAAATGTAGATTAATTTCTATATTCGTGGGCCGCATGGTGCTGGGAAGGTTTCTGCTGAAATGTTCAAAGACAAAGTGGACAAGCAGTGGAAGTATACATACTTAATTGTGGAGACCATGCAACCTTCACGATCACAGTTGATTCTGGAGTCTTACATGCCTGCGCCAGCGGTTGCGTAAAACATGTACACAAGCGTTCCATAGCTTAGATATGGTTTCTTTTTGTACCAATTTGATCTGGAGCTGGGGTTGCTAACTCTCGTCGATAGATATGAATAATTTGTATTCGTTCTCGTGAGATTGATCCTTAGTTTTCTTGAGAGTTCCAGTTTTGTCCTTCTGAGCTGATTAATTTTTTGTTCACTGAGAAAGCAAAGATCTCTGAAATGTGATTGGTTGGTCATTGAATTAAACAATTTTGTTGGTGATTAACATTGTGTTTTTAATCACTTGTTTAGAGAAGGTTCTCAAGTTATAGTATGTCCTCGTTAACCGAGGAAACAAACGTGGATTGAACACAGCTGATGTTCTCCGGTGCGATCTCATTGAGTCTCTGGGATCTTAATGAACCAATACTTGCAACATGGAACGTTTTTCTGTAGCGAGAGCCAAATAATGACGTTGCATGATCATGATACTCCGCACAATTCCGTCACTAGCAAACCCAACTTCATCACTGTAATGCCTGGATTTTGCATGAGCATGTGCATGAACCAAATCCTGACAGGCAGTGGCCAACAGTGGTTCGCCATTCTTCGTTGCTATGCTCCCTGTTACACCCATCCATCTTTCGTAATAGGTTGATCATAATGCCAAGAATAGGCTTCCCCTTGCAAAGAAGAGCAGTAAGGGTTCCAAACTTGCACCTTTTACAAATAAAAGCTGTATGTTACATCAAGAGGATCCACAATCCTAACAAAGTCTGGAAGGTTGGTGTCATTGATGATGATATCTTTAGAATTCCACTTCGTTTCTTCGCCAAAAACTGCATGGGAAGGGAAGTTCTCAAGAATGATGGAAACTATAGCTTCTTCGACTTCTTTATCCGAAACTTTTACAGGGCCATCTCCATCACACACACAGATGTATATTTATATTGCAAACCTCAAAAAAATCCCTTCAACTATATAATTAGCCTCAATTCTGCCACTAAACAAATCTCTTTCCTCAGTTGGATCTCCCAAGTTTCAGAAATTTTAAACATCCGAAGAAGACCCCAAGCAATGCTAAATCCCTTGGTAGCTAAACAGTCTGCACAAACATTACCTTCGCAATAAACCTGCTGTAAACGAGTTCTTTAACTTCTGCTCAGCACGTTCTTTATCAACTACTATAATTGAGTCCCAGAGGGTCTGTTCAATGTGTCTGTTAAGCATTTGATCAAGCAAGACCAAGAACATCAAAAGCTTATTTCCATGTTAATTGACTCTTTGAAGCAAGTTAACCAGAACAGAATTTTAACTTCATTAGGCAATGGTTATAGAAAAAGGTACTCTCTCAAACAACAATCAAAAGAAAAAATCTTATTACAAAAGAAGTATTGTGGAGTGCATCATATTGTTGACATCTACAGCTTGCATTCTAGCATTACAAAACATAGGACACGAAACTGCATACATCTCCAAAATTCTTGATGCCCCTTGTCATAGATCATCAGCTTTTCTAACAAGAAAAAAAATGATAAACAACAATCAATGGTTGTACAAATGTAATTTTTTGGGACTCTAAAAAAAAAGTATACAGATGCTAAAAGAGAGCAAGCAACTTACTCTTTTGCTACTCTTGGAGGAACCCCAAGCCCATTCCTTATATTTGCTCCCAATTCTATAAGATCTTGTACCTTGTGGATGCCAGAGGCTTGAAGGGAAGCAATGGAAGCAGAGGCGGCGGAACCCACAAAGAGGGAGGCAACGGCTAACGCTTTTAAGGGCATGAGACGAGAGTCGCCGGAGAAGCCTCTTTTATATGCTGAAATGCCCCACCCTAACTTGGCCATGCTTGCCGTTGCCCACCACCACCACCACTGGGTCTCGATGCCGCCACCGCAGCCAGTCTCCATTTCTTTCTTTCCGCTGAGTGACTGGGACCCCACCATGAACTCATTTCTTTGCGGTCATCGATAAGGGGTCTGATTTGTAGGCCTAATAATTCTTGATTTCTATTCTTTTTAGCCCTTGTAGGCCCATACAAGTCGCTGGGTATTGGTACGAGGCCTTTTAAATCCTCTGTGGACTCTGGTCCTGGCCAAATGAGAAGACACGTATGAGGCTGGCTAATTTCTTTTTCTTTTTTCTTTTTTCTTTTTTTTTTCTTTTTTCTTTTTTCTTTTTGCTTTTTTCCAGTTAAAAAGATCGTTGCCGTTGGAGTTAATTTTGCACTGCCATGTTTTTAGGTGACAAGCTGATAACAAAATTAAGGGATTGATTAGACCGTCTTTTACATGAGATGTCAACTAAGTTAAACTTTTAATATTTTTGGAGAATTAAACCTATGATCTCTTGGATGATACCAAGAACAAACACTAATAAGTTAGGTAAAATTGGATTATTTTCCTGAATGAAAAAAATAAAGATAATAAAAACAGATAAAAAAATATAATAAAAAACAAAAACAAAATCATTTTTAGTAATAATACACAATACAGAATATAAAATAAAATTATTTGTTCAAAATAGATATCTTACGCGATTAAAACATGATCTCTTATTTCTCAAATATAAAAAATAAAATAAAATTTTATATAAAAACTAATAATCGTAAAATCAAACGGGCAAAGCAAAAAGTGAATAGAGAATACGTGGATTAAATAGTATTTTTCATGCAAAAATAACATAGGCCATGTGTTTGATCTTTATTTTCTTAATTATTTATCTATACTATAAATTAAAACCAAATCTCATTAAATTGACCTCCGACAAACCTAACCAAAGCCTCCATTCCCCAAGATCATGGGAAGAAAAGAAACCATGGACTCACAAAACACGAGCACTCAAAACAGCACACAAAAGTACGAAAAAAATGTGATAAAAAAAAAATTAAAATCCACGTGGATCGCTTTGTAAGGAGAGGTACAATGCTACGCTGGACAATAAAATGCCCCCATGAATTAGTTTTCTTTAAATAAATGAGACCTAACCCTTGAATGCAACTACAAGTCAAGAGCATTTATGTCCTCTTGGAGTTAGCTGGGTGCACTTTCCAGCGTGGACCCCCACCACCCACAAGCAATTCAAAAGATTCGCCAATTTCCTTTTGTAATTCGAATGACTAATAACTGTGTTCGGTTCCTGGTCTTCCACGGAAAGTAGCACTTGAAAAATTATTTCGGAGATTGTCGGAGAACGGTTCATTGGATAAAATAAAATAACCCGATTATTTTAATAGAAATTATTGAAAACATTAAAAGAGGTAGATGCAGAAAAATATTATTCACGAACTCACATGTGACTGTGAACTCATTCTTCATTTCTTATTTTTATTTTTCCATTCTTAAATTTTAATTATTTTATGTGATTTGATCCTAATTAAGAATTAATTACTTTTGATTTCTTAAGAAATTATAAAATGAAAAGAAAAAAAACTAAAATAAATAATGCACCAAAATTGGGTGGTGTGCCAGGTTTCTGCAAAAAATATAGACTTAGGATCTCAATTTTTAAAAATAATATAATTTATACATTTAAAGTATCTTCAAATCACAAATTGGTAGAAAAGTTAATTTACATTATTTTTTAATTCTTAGTTATAAAAATTATAGAAAAAAATTATTATTTACACCATTTTTACCACCAAAATGTTTTTTCTTGGTGTCTATAGTTTCCATGTGATGAAAAAGATTTGATAATGATTGTTTGAAATTTCAGTATTGTTTAAAAAACAAATCTAAGTTTGAGTTTTGAAATTTTTTTTGGAGTGTTTTAGGTTGATAAATAAATTTGTTGGTATTCCAATGATATTTATGAGATATTCTAGATTTAAAAAATTTAAAAATTAAATTTTTTTTTTTTAAAATATTGTTTGAGTTTTTCAACCACCACAATAATGGTTGGAATTTGACTCGTAAATAAAATATTTATCTAAGTAGATAATATATTGCTCATGTATTTTTTTAAAAAAATTTAGAGTACAATCCTTTAAAAAATAAAATTAAAATCAAGCCTAAACACACAAGTTTTTTTTCTAATTTTTTTTCATTGTTAATATTTTTTATATAAATAACTCTTAGTTTATTTAATTAGATATATAGTAGAGCTTTTCATTCAGAATTTTTTGGTAAAAAACACATAGTAAAAACCTGCTTATTTTAATTATTATTTTTTTAAATAGTTTACCCGCAGCAAAGCGCGGTGAAATATGTGATCCAAAGCACGCGCTGTGGACAGATACTGTGTCGTGGGGGCTATTTGACTATCATCGTTCACAAAAATCCAAAGTCCCATCCCCACCACACACTCACTGTCGTTTTTCTGTGGTGTATGTGATAGAAGAGGGGAATGAACAAGCCGTCAAAGGGCGAAAAAGAGAGCAACCCACGTCGGAGGATATAGACAACTGTACCTCTCTTTACCAAATACTTTGTCCTTGGCCGGAGTCACCGTAGCTTGTGGGTCTGCATGGAGCTTGTTGGGTAATTTTAAAATTATTTTTTATTGAATTTAATTATATAATAATTAAAATCAATATTTGTAGAAGTTAGGAAGATCTAGATTTTAAAAGAAGAAAAAAATGTATTTCTTAAGTTAATGTATTTCAATATTTGTTTTGACAAAAGATTTTTATCAACAATATTCTTTATAACAAAGATTCTCAATAAGAAAAAAATATATATTGAGGCAAACCTTTCATTTTCTTATCAAACGACCTCCAGGAGGGAGGGAATCTTTCAAGGTAAATAGATATGAGAAAGGTAGGGTTTGGGTTGTTGATTTGTCGAACGTAGGGTTTGGGTTGTTGAAGATGATGGTGAAAAGGTAGGGTTTTGTGAAGGGGGGTAAAGCAAACAACATAACGGAATAAAACTTAAGAAGTAAAGATCTTTGGATGGGAGATTTTCTAGAGAGAGATGATGACAAGTAGAGAGAGAGGGGTACTACTCGTATATACATATCAGTGAGAGAGGAAGGCTGCATTTAACAGATCAGTATATAGCAATATCCAGGAAAGGGGCTGTGTGCTGCTGACAACAAAACAATTGCTTTCCTCAGGCAAAGGCACTCAGGTTCTTTGCGCACTAGCTACATTTCGTGTCCTTTTTCTTTCTTTTGTTTCCTTTATATTGTTTCACTATATTTGGTCTAACAACGACGAAATGTTTAAAGTTTTCAATTAAACCGTTAATTTAGCGGTTCTTACTTCATAATTATAAATGAATTTTGTCTTTTAGGCTTTATGAAAGAGGTTGGGCTGTAGCCTCTCTCAATTCTTGGTTAATAGTTCCATTATAAAGATTATTCTCTTGTAAAATCACAGCTGATAAGCTGTGCAGGATATCCATACATACTACTTCCGAAGGAATTGTGCACGTAGAAATATCCCAGCACACAACTTTCCTTTGGAAAAGGCAATTGCATAATTGCTTGAGCAATAAATATTCCAAAATGGTTCTATACTTGGCAGAAAACAGTTTTGGCTTTTTGCAGAACAACACTAAAACAAGATGGTCTTTAGCTAGGAAGAGTTGTTTTCGTGGTTTTATTCGCTTGGGAGTGTTTTAATCTGTTTTGCCCAGATTTTCCTTATATTTTGTTAGGTTTTTTTTTGTTGTTAATTGGCAATCAATTATATTGTTTATTTCCTTAACTTTTGTTCTTTTCAATTTAGGCCTTAAAACTTATTATGTTTTCGTGGTTTTATGCACTTAGGTGTGTTTTCATCTGTTTTGTCCAGATTTTCTTATATTTTGTTAGGTTTCCTTCATGTTAAATCTTACAAAACTAGGTTATGACTCCTTGGAAAAACCAATTGAAAGCTAAGGCTAGAGGACCAAAAAGCAATAGTATATGTGTGTGTGTGTGTGTAAAGTATAAAAGAATTTAGTAAATGATGATGTTCTTAGTTCTCATGAATTCTGCCTCATCTTCAATGCAACCAATAATAATAATAATAATAATAGATCAATGAAATACCCAGATAGATCATTGCATGATAAAAAAGAGAATTCACATTTTTTTCATAAACATTCAATTGACAATCGTGAAGCAGAATTCTTACTTCCCATGACATAACTTAATCCCAAATCTCAATTTGGGTTAATTAAGGCCAGTAGAGGTTCAACATTCATAATTAAAAAAAAAAAAACTAAACACAGAACAAATTGAACAAATAAATTGCTAGAGCTGAATCAAAACAATGATAAAATTACGGATCCACATGACCTAGATCATATCATAGATAATGTTAAGAAAATATTCTACATGACACACCTATATAATCTATGGATCAGGATGATGGGAAATCAAATATAACCATAATACACATGTAATCTCCCATGATTTGCTCTGTATTTTTCAATCAACTACATGAACTTTCCTTGAAAATAGTTTCTTATACAGTTGTTTTGTTTTGATTTGTTTGATCTGGTCGTAAAACTTGTTAAGAGTGGCTGGACAACAAAAATAAATCGTTTTAAATGTGAATTGAAATGAATCTAAGATTGTAGCAACCATGGTACACTTGATTTGGAGATCTATTTTTATTGCCAGTGATTCATTTGGCTGTCTCTCCAGGACAAAAATCTCTTGACAAATGGAAAACGATATTAATACCCCAAGTGCTTCAAATAAGGACATTGGCATGGCAACACGTTCAAATAATGAAAAAAGGATTGATAAGGCAAGTGCTTCAAACACGGGAAAGGAGATTGAAGCGGCAAGTTCTTCAAATGTTCTGAAAGATCTAGCAGATGGGATAGCAAGGTTCAAGCCTGGAAAATGTCCCGAGCACTGTATCTACGAGGTACCCCGCTCACTTCGAAGCATAGAACCGAAGGCCTGCACCCCACAAGTAGTTTCACTAGGCCCTGCTCACTGTGGCCATGAGGAACTAGTGTCAATGGAGAAGCAAAAATTGAGATATTTAGCAGAATTCATGGATGGGAAGAAAGTGACATTGGATGATCTTGTGACCATAGTTCAAAAGAATGAAATGGAAATTCGAGGCTGTTATAACATCAATCGTAGCAGTGATGATTTTGTAAAGATGATTCTGTTGGATGCTGTATTCGTCATCGAATTCTTGTTGCAGTTCTTTAACCTTTTCTGTGAAGAAGTTCCTATATTACCTGAGCCTCGGATGATGTTTGGTTTACAAGTGGACTTGATACTGTTGAAAATCAGCTACCTTATTTCATTCTGGAGAAAATATACGAGAAAACCTATTCAGACCCTGAAATACAAGCTAGCCTTACTTTTCCTGAGCTTGTAGCCTTCTACTTTGGACATTACTACAGGATTTCACAGAGACCAAAAGTCAACTCAGTAGGGATAAAGCATTTCACTGATTTTCTGAGATATGTTATGTTGAATGAGTCCCTGGAGACATTACCTCGTCGTCCTTGTACCATCAAACTGAAATACAGTGCAACCATGCTTCATAAAGCAGGATTGAAGTTTGAGGCAACTGAAAACAGTTGTGTACTCGACATAAATTTTGTCAATGGAGTGTTGAAAATGCCACGCTTTGAAGTAAATCAGAGCTTCGAATACGTGACACGAAACCTCATGGCATATGAGCAGTGCCACTACCCATATAGTACTTACATATGCAATTACTTTATGTTAATGGACCATCTTATCAACACTGAAGAAGATGTGGATTTGCTGGTTAAAGTGGGGGTGATTGATAACTGGCTAGGAAACAATGGCATGGTTGCAGATTTGATTAACCGGCTTTGTGAGCAAATTAGTGAATTTTTCACTTGTTATCATGATCTTTGTGTTGATTTGAATGCCTACTATGAGAACAGGTGCAACCATAGAAAGGCAACCTTGAAACTTGTATATTTCAGCAATCTTTGGAGAGTTACCGGAACTGTTGCTGCAGCTGTCCTGCTGATCCTCACTTTGATACAGACTGTATGTTCAATAATGTCACTTCTAGGTCCAAAGCAGCTGATCTAGTTTTATTACCTACAGTCAGTATCTGGTTATGGTTTCCCATATGATCTACATAATTGGTGTATATTTCAATAGGGTTGCTTCTATAGGCTCGAAGCAGCAGGTTTAAAGCTACTGTAGTAGCAAGATTGTTTTCCGAGTAGTTTTTGTCGGCCAAATGCAGTGTTATATTGTGCTAAAAGCAGTTGGATTTTTCTTTTACACTATTGATCTCATCATCATCATTGATAAAATATTAATCTCATAGTTACATCGATAAAAATTCAATTAATTAGTTTAACTCTGTTGGTTTTTGGTTCTACTAATAACTGGGGACCGAGGGCTTCATGGAAGTTGAACATTCCTGTTCGTCGACCTAAATATATGTTTATGTGACGAAGAGGGAAATGCTCAGTTCTACTTTCTAGGTTACTACTCTTCTATGGTTGTGTTAATTGGTCCTTGTAAATTCTTCATTAAAAAAAGCATTTAATCCTTCACGGACATGACAATGGCGAGTGTAAATTTGTCCAAATCCTCCACAAATTTGGTTAATCAAATCTGCTACCATAGCGTTGTCCTCTAGCCAGCTGACAATACTCTCTCTTCAACAGGCATATCCACATCTTCTTCAGTCTTGACAAGTGAACGCATGTGTAAGTTGCATTTGGATTGTAATGGAACTGCTTCAAGGCCATAGAATATTTCTAAGTGTACATTCAAAAAAGGTCTCCACCCTCTCATAACTCAATTCTAGATAGTTTTTTAATTTTAATTCATATTTTAATAAAAAAATTTTAAAAAAATAATAAAAATCCAAAAAATATATTTTTAAATATATTTATATTATTTTTAATATTTTCAACATTATGTCAAAAGAATTTAAATTTTCAAATATATTTAAAACGCGTTTAACTTTTAACATATTATTTTTAAAATTATTAATTTTTTTTATTGAATTGATAAATTATTTTTAAAAAAATATAAAAAAATTAAAATTTACAAAAATATAAAATTGAGGAATGAATTTTGAAATTCAAACAACATTTTTTCTATAAATAGCAACATTTAACCCATAAAAAGTAGGGTAATTTTGAAAAAAAAAATAAAAAATAAACCTAAATTTCTTCTCCTTCATCAAAAGCCGCCGCCCCCCATCCCCGTTTTCAATTCTTCTCCCTTTTCCCAGCCAAGACCAGCCTCTACACAGGAGCCCCCATTTTCTTCTCCTTTTCCAGCCAACAAAGCAGAGCCCCTCCCATTGCAACAAACCGAAGCAGTCACCCAGCTTCCTTCTCTCCCTCTTGACAGATCTTCACCTTCCCCTCCCCTCATCAGATGTTTCCTTCTTCTTGCCAGCCAAGGGCTGAGCCTCAGCCTTGCAGAACCGGCCTCCACCAAGCCACACAACAGTGCCCACAGACCGGCCACCAGCAGGAGCAGCCGATCTCCTTCACTGCCGGTCACCAGCCTTCAGCACTCCTCCTAGCTGGCAGTACATGAAACAAAGGAGAAGAGGATGAGCAGAAGTAGCTGATCTGCAACGAAGCAGATCCAAAAGAGGCCGAGGCAGATCTGAAAAATGGAGAACCGGAACTGCTTGTATTGTTGAGTTTCTTTGCAGGTGAGTGGGAGATGCACCGCCGGTACGGACGGGAAGAGAAGAAGAAGACGAAGACCCAAGAACAGACCGGAGAAAGAAGAAAGTGAAGCAGATAGGGACGGAAAGCAGAGGAAAACAGATCTAAAAATCAATTAAAACCGACTGTTTTTTGTGCGTTTTTCTTGTTGTTGCAGGTGACGCGACCCTCACCGCCGGCGAGGAGGGGAAGAAGAGAGGAAGTCGTGACTAACCCTCCTGCTTGCCTGGTTTTCCGGTGTCGCGTGGGTCTCCGCGCCGCCACTGCTGACGAGCACTGTTCACGTGCACTGTTCACACCGTTCAGAAGCACTTCCCAGCACTGTTATGGAGTTTTGAGGGGTTATTTTATAATTTTTAAACTGTTTAATGTAATATTTGTTTAATTTGAATTTTTATTTGTATTTTATAAATATAAAAAAAAAACAAAAAAAAAAGAAAAATACAGGGAAAGTGCATGTGTGTGCTTGTATTTATCTTATGAATGTTTTTTTTATTTATGATAAAATTATAGAGAATAAAGAAGAATTTATTTATTTATGATAAAATTAGAAGAATTTACTACTTTGATTTGATTAGATTACAGTGTAGAAGTATAAATTTATAGGGTTTTAAAACTTTTTGAACACATTATAATTATAAAAGTTGTATTTTTAAAATCCGATGAAAAGATAAAATATTTTAAAACTTTTTTAACACATTATAATTAATAAGCAGCTTATCTTAGGTATCAGGTAGGGTTTGTTAGAGGTGTTAATATTTTTCTTAATTATAATCAGTTTCTTACCTGTGAATCTTTGACAAGACTAATACAAGTACAATTATATTTCTTAGTAATCTTTAATTAAATATTAGGTGGCGATTCTTGAACACCACGTATTGATTTGTTTGACGTGCGACACACCCCGTCATCAAATCTTATGTCAAGCAAATGGTTATTATCAAACTTAACTCTTGCCTTAATAGTTATTATCAAACTTAACTCTTATGTCAAGCAAATGGTTATTATCAAACTTAACTCTTGCCTTAATAGTTATTATCAAACTTAACTCTTATGTCAAGCAAATGGTTATTATCAAACTTAACTCTTGCCTTAATGGTTATTATCAAACTTAATTCTTGCCTTAAGAAGCATGGTTGCATTATATTTGAGTTCAATAGGAATATGAAGGTTGCGAGGACCAGGCTCAATCAATGTAGAACACCTTATGAAATCAGTGAAATGTTTTACTTCCTTTGGGCGAGGTTTTGCCTCCACTGCAGGCACGTAGCGATGTTCAAAGTAACTATAGAGAAGTTGAAGAATTGTAGGGTAATATCTCTCGTCATATAGTTTCTTTTTTTTTTTTTATTTACGTGAGGTGTCCGGGCCAGCTTGCGCGCACCACGACTAATTCCTATGGCTCACTGAATACCCTGCAAACCCAGTAGGCATGTAAGGCATCGCGGGGGTGACAGGCGTGCACGACAGGGCTTGAACCCAGGTGCAGTGGAAGGAGATAAGCCCCTTCCACTGCTAGGCCAAGCATTGGTTTGCCTCGTCATACAGTTTCTTAACAATGAAGGTAGTGGATTTTAGAGTAGTATCAGGTCCTTTTGTATACGATAATTTTTGCTTTTCTCAGACGGTCCGGACTCTTTACGACAGAGACTTCTCGAATTTTGCAAGATAAACTCAATAATGAAAGACAACATCCATCAGTGTTAGGTTTGTTATCATTTCATATGCAGCAAATAAATGGCACCAACCATTGATTATTGGCAGCCATCATTATTGAATGAGCTAAAGTTGGTGGCCATCAATATTGACAACAAAGCAAGAAGAGCTGTCATGGATGCCTATAAAAGAGACATACATGAGAGCAAAATAAGAGAAAAGGTGGTGAGTGTATGTAAGAGAAGAAGAAAGAAAGAGAGGCTGCCCAGTGTGTGTGAGCTGAGAGTTGAGTATGAGTAGGTGTAATCCTCCTCCTCCATTTATTTATTTTGTATCCTTTCTCTATCTCTAATTATATTGACTCTCCCGTGGATATGAATGATTTGCCGAACCACGTTAAATATTGTGTCGGTGTACTTAGCCTTCAATGAGCAAATATCAGAACATCACTAGTCGAAATCCCCTACAATTGGTATCAGAGCTTATGGTTTAAAGTGGTGTTTGATTTGGCTCAAAAATAAAAGTTGTCAAAATTATATTTTGACCATACCACTATGTAGAGGAGGAAGAGACGAAGCCATTGGTGAAAACTGCGTCGAAATCGGACGTTGGAAACCGCCACACGCGCCATCACACGCTGGCGGGGTGACTGGACACGTGCGCAGACACGCACCACGTGTCACACGCGTCTTCCTCACCAGGATGGGCTGACCCGACCCGAATACCAGAAGATCTAACCCACGCACGAGATCCGAATGATGATGATGTCATCATGACGCCACAGTTTCGTCAGCATGCACAGGTGGCATGTCATGTCATCACCACATCATCAAACACGTCAGCACTGTAGGGACCCACCTGCCACATCACCAGCCACGAGCCAAAAATGAGCCGAGCTGAGTTGAGCCACTAGCTGAGGGACAGGATTCTGTGTAGCAGAATCTATGTGCATCCGAATCTGAAATTGAATCTAGACCACTGATCAAGCCAGAATTGTTTTAATGAAATCACAGTCGTCTGAAGTGTGATTTGAATGATTTCAGACTTGTTTTCAACT